CACTAAAAAAATACGGCCTTCACGTTGCGTACCTACAAATTTGTACGGAACCCTCGACTCACGTTTGTCCTGCTTTTTTTAGTTATATTAGGTTTAAACGAAAATGTGAATAAAAATATTCAGCTTACGGACAAAAGAAGGCTTCTTAGTACAGCTCAACATCATTTATTTTTACAAAGAAATTGCTTCCGTTTTCCTTCAGGAAAACAATACCTACTTAAGTCCTAACATTAATAATATAATGGTAAAATACAAAGAAAACCGGAATAAGCATCACAAGTTTGTGTGTCGTCACACATAATAAGCGTTCAAATAAGCGACCAAATGTATTTCCTGTTTCAGATATTTTCAACCGTAATTGGAAGCCGTTGGATTTCCCAAAACCTATCATAGGCAAGGTAAGAATAAAATTGACAAAGACCTTTAGACATCAAAAGTACTGAGCAGATAACAACGTTTATAAATAGCCGACTTTCATAAACGTATACATCTATATCTATACTTTTATTTTATATTATCTACTATATAAAAATAAGTCGGGTTTTCCTTCCTGACGCTATAACTCCAGAACGCACGAACCGATTTCCACGGTTTTGCATTCGTTGGAAAGGTCTCGGGCTCCGTGAGGTTTATAGCAAAGAAAATTCAGGAAAAATTAAAAAAAAAAAACTTCTTTTAATCACCAAACGAAATGTTACATAAAACGAAGCCATCTGGTGGCGAAACGGAGTTCGCGGGGCTTGCTAGTCTATATATATAAAACTCAAAGGTGACTGACTGACATAGTGATTTATCAACGCACAGCCCAAACCACTGGACGAATCGGGCTGAAATTTGGCATGCAGGTAGATGTTATGACGTAGGCATCCGCTAAGAAAGGATTTTGATCAGTTCTACCCCCAAAGGGATAAAATAGGGAATGAAAGTTTGTATGAAACTTTGTCAATTTTAAACCGATCGGGCTAAGACTTTGCATGCAGGTATAAGGAGAATCATAGATGAATGTCGTTCTGTATAATACAAGCCTGAGAACAAAAAATGTAGTCTACACTTCAGCTCTACACCGAAGCGAAGCGAGGGCGGGCCACTAGTTTTATATATAGAGTTGAAAAGTTTGTTTGTTTGGTTCAACGCGCTTGTTTCAGGAACTACTGGTCTGAAACATTATTTTTGTGTTGGACAGTGCATTTTTCGGGGAATGTATAGACTATATCTATAGTATAGAAATGAGTCGCTGAATGTGTTGCTAAGCACAAATATCGAGAACAGCTGAACGGATTTCGATAATTATTTTTTTAGAATATTCCTTGAAGCCGTGGATGGTTCTTACGCAGAGAAAAAAAATTAAAAAATGCCTGAAAGTGTCCAAAAATTGCTCTTTTCTATATTCCCATACAAACGTTTCGTAATAATACTTAATTAAGTCTATTTGAACTTTAATACCATACCATAAATTTCAAATGTCAGTGGAGAGGTTTCGGCAAGGCAATACAATTGAGTGACGTGATGTCAATAGATGTTTGGAAAAGGCAAATATACCATTTTCAGTTTTTTTTTATAATAATACGAAGAGTCATTTTAGTCTACACTACAGCTCTACACCGAAGCGAAGCGAGGGTGGACCACTAGTTATAGTATACAGATAAGTAACTTTTTCCTCAAATTACTGCGGGTGAAACCTCAACGCATCTCTAGTTGACTACAATATAATCACCGTTATGACTGTTATTATAATATTATTACACAGTTGACTTAAGCCATTATCATAACAAATATACACAGTTCGCCATTACTCTGATTAATTCAGATCATGGAGTGGAACAATAGATTGAACAGGCGAGAGACTAGTTTAAAGTATTTATAGCTAAGTGCATTGGACTTGATACTATAACGTCTCTTAGTTTAATGAATACTTAGTATTAATTAATCATCAGCATTAAGCATATTAATGTTCACATGGCTGACTGAATCAGAAATTAAATCAATCATTTGTTTGCGGTACACAGATTTAATTCAGATGTTGAGTATATCAAAATATTTTGTAATAATAATGAAGATAATAATTCTTTATTTCAGATTCAATTGAATTACATTATTTCAATCCATATGATTGAAAAAAAAACGCAATATTATTCAAAATTAAATCAAATTAAAGTAAAAGTAGACATCAAAATTTTTGCTGAAAATTTATGCTGTGGACAGTTTTCTATTAGACAAATTTAAAAAATTACAAAGCCATTAGAAGGGAATTTTTATTGCCCCCTTAAGTGTGGCTCCAATGTGGCTCCAAAGAGCAGAGATCTGGGACAAATGGCTTAAAGTGCGTTCCGAAGCTGGCTGGCGACTGTGAAACTTGATTCATTCCAGTTTTACGGTATTGGTTAGATTTAATTGTAACAGCATGATTCTTATGCTTTTATTATTTTTTAAGCATTAAACTGCTAGATGTTTAAATCTAAAGAAAAGTTTTACTAGAAAAAAAACCACGCGAACCCGGCAGCGGACGGGACTCGAACCCGCACCCTTCGCAATCCGGGTGAATGCACTGACCAATTATGCTACCACGGCCCTGATGGCCGCGTCGAAATTTTCCAAGCTTTAAGCTGCAAGGCAGCGCCATCTCTTCGCATTGTAGGTAACCCACAATGTCAAATGAATACTTTTTCAAGTATTAAGCATTTGAAAGAAGAAATAGCAATTATAGTTATGTGTTTATTATTTTTTAAACATTAAACTGCTAGATGTTTAAATCTAAAGAAAAAATTTTTACTAGAAAAAAATCCACGCGGACCCGGCAGCGGACGGGACTCGAACCCGCACCCTTCGCAATCCGGGCGAATGCACTGACCATATTTTTTCTAGTAAAACTTTTCTTTAGCATGAGTCTTTTTCATAAACCGCCAAAGCCTGAACGCTTGCAGTGTCAAAATATTACTCGCACCGCTCCCTTCCCGGACTCTAGTCCTAATCCCAACCCCTTTTTATAAAACTGATATACATAAATATGTTTTTCTTTAATAACCTTCATATTTTAATGTCTCCAACGTCTAATAAATAATACATAGTTCTATGAGGAGGAAATGGTTATCAAAATCATTAAATATTAACTAAATATCTAAGCATTGACAACTTATATAGCTCAATTTAATTATTACTTATTTGTAGCCTCTTTTGAAATTTCTTATACTGTCCATCCATATTAGTTTTGTTCAGCTTATTTATTAGAAAAAATAATATATTGGACGACCATTAAGAAATTCTAAATCCATTTATTCTTTCAAAAAAAACCTAAAGAAATATTTACTGGATGCTCAACAGGAATTAGAAAACTTTCAGCACAACGACTCGTATATTTAGCCTTTCTTCATTGGTATTTTTGTGTTTGTATATGTATATATGTATGTGTTTACATAAACACTTGTATCCGTAAAAGTTGGGTAAATTTATTAGTATGTATGTTATATATCATAAATACTTGTATCAGTAAAAGTTCGGTAAATTTATTAGTATGTATGTATACTTTTAATTTTTCTTCTATATAAATCGCACGTATTTTATTTTTATTTTAATTTGTAAGGAGGAAACGTGTTTTGGACATACATTGGGGGCTGGGGTTTAGTTTATAGTCCAGGGTCTAGTTGAAAACCAGCGTCAGCTCATTGAGCTGACACAATGCTGAACTTTGATCCTTTTTGGCGCAGGCAGGCACTTTCAAGTTTGCATTATTTACCTCTTTTTTGTTTGTTTTTTGTAATACATTTTATTTTCTTTTGTTACTTATAGATATTCATTTAAATAATTGCATGTAAATTGAAAATGTACCTACCTATTTTAAGCCTACTGTGTCAAATAAAATTATTTTGTTTGTTTGTTTGTTTGTTTGTTTGTTTGACACTGTATGAAATAAAACAGGGAGAAAAAAGCAGCCCTTGCTGAGTTTCTTGCCGGTTCTTCTCAGTACAAGGTCTCCCGCCGTAGATTTGCGAACCGATGGCGTAGCTTTTCGACATTCACAAGTGCTTGTAACAGCCTAGACTGAATAAACGATATTGAATTTTTGATTTTTTTATAATATCAAACATACTGAGAAGTAGAGCTTTTTAACAAAGTATAAAAGCATGTACGTACTGAGCAAGCAATGCCACTCAGTAACGTTCGTATTTTCTCCCTCCTTCATTCCATAAATATCGTCCAAAAATTACCAAACAAATAAATATACATTCTACTCTAGTGGGTAGATGAAATAGCAATATTCTTTTTCTGATAGAAGATATCAAGAAGTGCGATAAAGCTTTGCTCCTTTTAACCCAAGAATAAACCGGTTGAGCGTAATAGTGAATTATGTTCACAATAGCACCCGCCATCAATATAGACGATAACGTATGGGATAATCTCGTGATGTATAACCCGAAATTAACCTCTGCCGTTATCAAGAGCGGCAGCTTGTTTCGTTAAATTTAACCATTTGACCCGTAATTTCGGCTCCAACGTGATGCCCTATAAAAATACGTTATAGCTCGTTTATGTTAATATGAAACATGTATGCGGAATTTTTGTTAAAAAATGTTTAGCTGAATTTTTCGTCTTGGGCGCGAGGCTAAATCCCCTTTTTTTTGGTTGCAGGTTTTTAAAATGCAACGCTTAATGAATTTCTCTTTGTTTTAATTAAAATACCTACGTGTACGTTGGAAATGCATGCATTTGAAACAAATATGAAAGTTAAACTACGTGAAGGCTATTCCTTAAATGAATGAGTGATTGAAACCTGTTGAATATCATTTTCTATTACTTATTCTATAGAGAATATTAAAGTATTTATTGAATAACTATTAAATTGTCGATATTTAAAATACCATATTTAATTTTGCAACTCCGAATTGGGAAGGGAAGAAAAATATAGAATGTGCCTTATGACTTTCCGATCAACAATTTAAACACATATTATTACCCAGGTAAAGTAAGTAAAAATGTGTATGTATGATAAAATTGCCTTTACTCACATATAACCTGCAAGTTGACTGGTGGAGATTTCCCATCTCCTTCTACGTTGGAAGCGGTACAGACATATCTCCCGGCCTGCTCCCGCGAAACTCCTTGTAGTGCGAGATGAGCTGATCCGGCTATAACACCAGCTCGCTGATTGTGCGTCATTATTTGACCCTGTTAAAAAAAACAAATTGCAAACATTTAAATGAATGGCCTGAGGACAATTCAATAACAGAACTCAATCATAAAGTATCAATATTTCCAATGATATCCTATAACTAAATCAAATTAAGAAATCAACTGTTGCTACTAGTAACACGTTTGAAATGAAGTAATAAGATTCCAGTGTTATTCCAGTTTATTTATCTTTAAAGAAATTTGTAATATTGAATTCCATCAATTTGGAATACACCGGATCAATTGTCTTTTTTTTTTCTCTCTCATCAAATTGGAATGAGGTCAATGCCGTAAACAGTATCTAAATAAAAATAATATACAAAGGAACTCACGTTGTGCTCCCAAACGACTTTGTATGCGGGCGGATTGGCACGCACCACGCATTCAAAGTATACGTCGTCCCCCTCCTCTATGTCGTTTGGATTCAACGTTGAGCCCAGTTCAAGGACCACTATTGGCACGTCTGTCAGAAAAAAATAAGTTTTCAGCATTTGTTGTGTAAAAATAAGTAATATTGCTATTCCGGAGGAGCTCGATGGCGCAAGTGGTTTGCGCGTTCGGCTGCGATCGTTGAATTTAAGCAACTTTCGCAGTGGTCGGTCATTGGATGGGTGACCAAAAATTCCTGTCTCGAGCTCCTCCGTGCTTCGAAAGGCACGTTAAGCGGTTGGTCCCGGCTGCATCTGCAGTCGTTAGCACCCACCAATCCGCACTGGGCCCGCGTGGTGGGTCATGGCCCAATCTCCCTATTCCATCCATAGGGAAGGCCTGTGCCCCAGCAGTGGGGACATTAATAGGCTGATGATGATGATGATGATTGCTATTCCAAGGACTGATTCTTGGATAAAACTTATGATAAATTAAAAACAAATACAATAAAAATTATATGAATGACAAAACATTTTCAGCCTGTCGACATAGGACGATGTCAGAAGCTTAAGTTTGACCTAGATTTGAGAAGTGACTGACATCACTCTTGGGATTGCATAACACTTATGATAAATTAAAAACAAATACAATAAAAAAATATATGAATGACAAAACATTTTCAGCCTGTCGATGTAGGACGATGTCAGAAGCTTAAGTTTGACCAAGATTTGAGAAGTAAGACATCACTCTAGGGATTGCTTAGCTGTAGTGACACTGGACGAGAACAAACGATGGTCGTTGGGACAGACAGGTTCTCAAATCAACGCACTGGACAATACGTGACCGGGGTTACCATTGATTTGGTAAAACGTGCGGGAAACCACAAATAGATGCGAACAACAGCATATTATGCAGCATATATACCATTGATATAATCATTATTACAATATCTATGAAATTCACGTGTTTTTTATTTAATTTAATAATGTCTTTATTTATAATTATTTTAATTTTATATTTCTAATTTGATTAATGAATTGTGCATGTCTTAATCTCATTAAAATTGTTATTAATGAATTCTATGTTAATGTAATTATTAAAATTTTTAATTTTTAATGTATGGTTGCTGTGTACTTGTATAAACATGCTGTTTGCACATGCTAGTAGAGTTCAGTATTTTTTTTTATCAATTGTTTTTCTATGTGTCATTTACCATTTTGCTTGCTGTAACTCTGTTTTGTGCAATAAATAAATAAATAAAAAAAAAAAAATATTATGCTGTTGTTCGTATCTATTTGTGGTTTCCCGCACTTTTTACCAATATTGTCCAGTGCGTTGATTTGAGAACCTGTCTGTCCCAACGGCCATCGTTTGTTCTTGTCCAGTGTCACTACAGATTAGCGTTGTGTGTGATCTTTTAATTCATTTTACAACCTGTCCAGAGCATTTAGCAACTTTTAATAAGGTATAATTAGGCCGATAGCAGTTTATATGCGGAATATTATTTAGAGTTTAAGGCGCTGAAAGTTAATAAAACGCACATAATAAACTTTGAACAGCCTGAGACTGACTTATACGTTTGTTGCTCAAGGGTAGTTTGTTAATGCGTTACCTACGCCTTGAAAATACCCTGTAGGCAAAAGCTCTCATATTTCTTGCATACCAAACTCTGTGTTTAAAACAACAACCTATGGTTACGTACTTTGGGCTTATAACGAATATAGGTTCTGTTGTAGGCGTATCATCTATTTTCCACCCACACACATTTAGTATGGATAACGTAAATCCAGTTTACTGATGTTAAATTTTAGATAATATTAGATGTAATTCAGAGAGATATACGTTATATTAATAAAAATATTACGTATGGTTTACTTGACGACAGTGTATTAAAACTTTGCCTTATACGTATATGTTTAACTAGCGGCCCGCCCTCGCTTCGCTTCGGTGTAGAGCTGAAGTGTAGACTACAGTTATTGTTCTCAGGCATGTATTATACACAATGACATTCATCTATGATTCTTCTTATACCTGCATGCAAAGTCTCAGCCCGATCGGTTTAAAATTGACAAAGTTTCATACAAACTTTCATTCCCTATTTTATCCCTTTGGAGGTAGAATTGATCAAAATCCTTTCTTAGCGGACGCCTACATCGTAACATCTACCTTCATGCCAAATTTCAGCCCGATCCATCCACTGGTTTGGGCTGTGCGTTGATAGATCACTATGTAGTTGAGTTTTATATATATATATTACTTAGTTTATTAGATGAAGCAAAGAGAGGGAAGTTGTTTCTTTTTTATGTCATACTAGTTCCCAGTTTACGGCGTCCCTTTCTTATTTGATGGTATCTCCTAATCTCCCGAGGTGAATTATTTTTACTTGTGTTAGACTGGGGTCTAATTGTCTAACTTTTACTGCTTCCGTGATGGCTTTGATTTCATAAAGCGATAAGCTTGATGTCACATTGAAAGTTGCTATAGCTTTATAGGGGATCGGAGAAGAAGTTAAAATCATACAATAGGGTATTTGACAAGTTTTAGAAAACGATCTCACGTTATAGACTAATATTTATGGAGTCCGTAAAAAGTGGATATTTATCATTGTGTTGTGTATTTCTGTAAAAGTAACCAAATCAAAAACCACATTTGCAAGTAGCCGCGATAAAGTTTTTCTGGACAATATGGCGTCTTACTAGTGTGTGACGTCACACGACTATTATTAAAACGTCAAACAATACAATTTAATGTCACTTCAACCAGAAATTTACTTGCGTGTGACGTCATTTTAGGCTCCGGCAATCCCAAGCGTTTTGGGTCACGTGACAATAGATAAGAAAATTATTATCTTTTTCGTGGGTTTTTAGTAAAATTATGAATATTTTTTTTGATAAAATAGTAAAAACCCATGCCAAATATTCATTCTAAACACAGATGCTAACAATTGGCACTTTATTTTTAATACTGTCAAATACCCTATTACGCACCCGACCTGGTTTTCAAAAATCACAAATAGTCTTAAAATAATGGATTGATTGATCAATAAATTTAATCATACTGTACGTCAGGTTTTCTTGTAGTCCAGTAAAGTATTCCTTATTACTAGAAGTTTTATGTATGAGAAGTCCACTCTCTATGATTGCTTATACAGTGTAATTTGCATTCAATGCAACTTTAGCCCCCTGTTTTATTATCAGTAGTTCTGTTGTAATACGAATAATTGGTGTTGATCACAAGTTATGCTTTTTCCTCCAAAACGCCAACCATATCTTGCTGGACTCAATAAAATTATCCTATCCTACGAAGCTTTTAAAATTTATACCTATAGCGTCGAACTTAACAATTTTTGAGAGCCATTTATTTCATTTATCAAGAATGTCCAGTTTTTTCGTTTATGTAATCATGAACCCGGAGTGTGTTTTTTGAAGTGAAAACTTTTTAGCACCGTTGACCGTTGTGATTTGAAACTCCATGAAACGAAAATTTAACAGTATTTGACACAAGGTAACCGTAACTTGTCACTCTCTGCAAGAGACAGATAGGCGAAGGGTAATAAAATAATAATGGTGATGAAATAATGACAAAAATGATAAAAATAATGATGAATGAATGAAAATAAAAAATGATCCCCCTAATGATCTTGGGGTGGGCACCAAATGATCGGTGGCTCGGTCTTGAGCTCGGTTATTTTTGTAATGGTTTTTTTTTTCTTATATTAAGCTATTATTTATTTTTCGAAACAATATAAGTATGGAATATATTAATTTTCCCAGTATTTAACAATACGTGAATAGTTAAGTATTAAACGTTGGGTAGGTACCTAAGTTGTTTATTAACACAGGCTTGGTTTTTATCAACAATCCTAACCTTTCCGATGTTCGCAATTGTTTTCCAGTATCTTTTTATAAATAAATATTTCTAAACAATCCTAAGATAAGGAAAACGTAACAAAAGAAACAGAATAAAAGTAGCTGGTAACAAATAAAGCCACGGTCGGCTGCAAGACTTTTACGTGTTCACATTTTTGTAGGTTTCAATTATATCGCGATGAGGAGCTCGATGGCGCAACCGGTTAGCGCATTCGGCTGCGATCGTTGAAGTTAAGCAACTTTCGCAGTGGTCGGTCATTGGATGGGTGACCAAAAATTGACTATCTCAAGCTCCTCCGTGCTTCGGAAAACACGTTGGTTCCGGTTGCATCTGCAGTCGTTAGCACCCATCAATCGCACTGGGCCCGCGTGGTGGGTCATGGCCCAATCTCCCTATTCCATCCATAGGGAAGGCCTGTGCCTCAGCAGTGGGGACATTAATAGGCTGATAATGATGATGATGATGACTTATCGCACATGAACAGCACATATCTGTTTTTTTTGAAACGTATTCTTTAGACTTAGACTTTACATATATTGATTAAAATAATATTTACAAGTCAAAATAAACTTTTACTAGAGGACCAGATATCAGATAGGATGCCTGGACAGCGTGGAATTTATTCTAGTGAACATTTCTTTAAATTTTATAAATAAAGCAGTCTAATGCTTAGAATAAAAATATAATCACAGTAAATAAAATTAGTTTGAACGGGTTAATGCACGAACTTTATTTATTTATTGACGTTTGCAGCCTTTTCAGGTCTGCATCGTCAGAATAATGATTTTATATTTACCTTGTCGAGCTACCTTCGAAAGACTTTTTATTGAGCATTCAGATATTTCATTGGAAGGTTTTTGAAACTTTATTGTCTATGTATGAATTTATTAGTTAATAAAGTACTTTATTTAAAATTCTTTTTTGTAATTTTGAGTTTGTATAATTGACACTAACTACCGTAAAATACCACCTGTTCCAAAATTGGGAGACCTTTCTGAGAAGAACCGGCGATGATGCGAATGAGTGATGTGCGTGAAAACCTAAGAAACCAATATAATCACAGTAAATTTGTGAGCGTGTATGTTTGTTACTCCTTCACGTCTTAACGGCTGAAGCGATTTTAAATAAAAAATGGTGTGGAGTTAGCTGACATCCTGGATTAACACATAGGCTACGTTTTACTACGGGAAAATATCCCTAATAAACACAACAGCTAGTAAACTATAATACTCACAGTGCAAATTGAGCGACATAGTGGTTTCCAACGTGGAATGGTTTAGCTTGACGTGTGTGGCTCTGCAGGTCAGCATGCGTCCATCGTGCTCCATCTGAGGAGTCCATCGAAGAAACGATATCGTCTCGTTTCTATCGTCGGAGTTCTAGACAAGAAAAAGAGTAAGGTAACTACGAATGTAGAAAAAAAGAATTTAGGGAAGGCAGACGAATATATTATTAAATTAATTGCAAATATATAATGTTTAAGCATCCACCGTGTAGTATACTGACACTTTTCATGTCATGTGGTACTCAATTCAGTATAGACTGGAACACATCTTCCTAATAGTGATGTGCAGAGTCGCTTTTTTGGGGGCTCGAGTCGACTCGGGTTGGTTTATACGGTATTCGAATTGTGACTCGATTCTGCGATTCGAGCCCAGTACTCTAGTTCTAGGTTTGGCATTCGAATGTAGACTCGAATCAAGAACTCAAGTCCTGGACTTGATTCTAGAAATTTGAGTCCAGAACACGAATCCGTTAACGATGTTAGAACTAAAAGGAAAAATTGAAATGGACTAAAGTTCAAGCAGCATTAGGTTGAACGTAATAACTTAATACATCAAACGTTTTTGATGAAAATATTTAGATCAAATTCTACTTGTTTTATTACACAACAAAAATAGATCTTTTTAAAAGCTATTTAAGAACTTCAGATATTTGTTCCATTAGTTTTTAACGAACTTTGCAAGTCATATTACTTATTAAAACAGAATCAAATTATACAAATATACAGGCGAATCAAATAAATTTAAAGCATGTTTTTGAATCAAAACTTACACAAAATAAAATTTTAGGGTAATTTTAACAACCGAGTCAGCGAGTACAAAATCGATTCTTCCTGACTCGAATACCGAAATCGAGTCTGGCGTACTCGAATCAAAATAAATTGCTATTCGACTAAGCAAATATAAGGCAGGATTCGAGTCTGATTCGAGTCAAGCCGTACTCGGCACATCGCTACTTCCTAACATGATGTATAGGTACAGTGACCCAGCGCCACAAATCACGATCGTACGTAGATATCTTTCGACCACTTCAGAAGGTCATCTTCGTAGGTTCTAAAATAATACTAAAGAGTTAGGAGCAGTTTTAGATACTTTATCTACCCCATGATTTAAATCCTCTATGAAAGATTCTGAAACAGCTTATTACCAACATTAAAACTACCAATGTCCTAGTAATTAGACTAAAGTTAGTCTTGGTTTAAACCTCATGTTGTCTCCGTCTTCTTTTTAACAAACAAAAGTGATAGCATCAGGTTTAGCCCGGGTTTAACTTTAGTGTACGTTTTGTAACATGGCGGTAGGTGTTAAACTCCTTAGATGATATTTCCCTAGATGGCGGTGGCGTCATATAGCGGCCGTAAAAGAGACGGACGTCACTAGAACTTTGTCTAGGTTAACATAATGGCGCGGTATCCTAGAGAGCGGTCATTATTCTTATGGTCTTTTTGCGTTCAATATATTACGGGGGCTATAAGACGGCACCGCTTCCCAGGAAAAAAAGCTTTACTGATAAGACAGCTAAATTCATTTTCTTACTGCTCGATTCGTGGTATAGTATATGAATTAAAAAAAAATCACTGTCATTCTCGCACATTTCACTACGACTGATGCCGTTATAAAAAGAAGGTTATTCGAACCCCCGACATTTGTCTTAGATATTAGTTTTTCTAAAATTTATTTCTTTGCATCTTTGTTAATAAAAATAAGCAGTTTTGATAACTCACCATCAGATATTTCTTATGCAGCATTTCTAACCAATTATTACCAGAAAAAATCAAGAAAAAAGGCGTACCAACATTTCAAGATTTTGAAAATATCAAAGGATAACAAATATAAAGGATTCATATCATGGATGCAGATGAAGTCTTTTAAGCAACTGTTAAAAATTACGTATTAAAGCAATTATGTCATAACTATTATCCCAATACAATGTTAAACCTACATTCGTGATTTAATACAGCTCATTACACAACAGTTGTTGTTAAAATAACTATAGCAAACCCAACATCGAATGCATTCAAAAATTGCCCACTGCCCAACATTATAGAAGTAAATTATTGTAGGTTAGGTAACGTTGGGACTGGCAGGCAAGAATGAAAGCTCGTAAATAAAAAAAAGATGAAAAGGCCACCTTATCAGCTATGTTTACCTTCTGTGAATGAGCTTTGAGAGGTTTTTCATCCAGCCACCATGATATGAGGGCAGGCGGCCGCGAGCCAACCGCTCTGCAAGCCAATTCTGCCAGTTGCCCGACCGATAGTGGTTGCTCTCTAGCAAGTATTTCCACTAGAAGTGGTTGCACTGCACAAAAAATACATCAACTAATTAAAGTACCTATAAAATAATTTTATTATACGCAGAAATAGCAATATTCAGGCATTTTACAGTTTTGAAATGCTTCGGAAGGCACGCTAAGCCGTTGGTCCCGTCTGCATCTGCAGTCTTTAGCATCCACCAATCCGCACTGGGCCTGCGTGGTAGGTCACGGCCCAATCTCCCTTTTCCATTCACAGGGAAGGCCTGTACCCCAGTAGTGGGCATTAACAGGCTGAACATGACTAATGCTGATATCAATGATTTCACCTCTGTTTATTCATAAACATTTGAAGGAAAAGTAGATAAGTATAGTTTTTATTTTATGTAAAAGTTTATCGCATACAAAAATATAAATGTAATTGCTAACACCGACACCTAAATTATTTTTTCTTTTGAGTTAATGTTTTGTAGTCGGTATATATTAATAACGATTTTTATTTCTTTTTTTTTATTTACAGTTCAAATGATGATGACAATGATGATGAAAATATTTTAGAGATTTTCATATTTTGGATAAGCTTGATAGTGTACGGGGTAGAAACCAGATTCACGATTCGTGTTCAAGGCACACTAATCTTAGAAAGATAATCTACGTCTGCGAGACATACGAGTCGGCAAAATTGTGTTATTTCTTTTTTACTGTAAGCCGTGTTCTTTGTTATAACCAACACAGTTGACGATTGGAACTCACATGAGATAGCAACGGCGTTGTTTGTATCCGAAATAATTTATTGTGGCTATGCTGTACGTCCGTGAGACGTATGATTACACTGTCTAACAAAAAAAAGTTGATACAAAAGTAGTAATACCCTTGTGTATGTAATTTTAAGTATATCTTGCAGGTTTAAGTAGTTATTAGAAAATTAAACACATTTTAAAGAAAATGCCAATAATTCAACATTTTCATTTACCCATCCCAACGGTGCATGATCACCCTTATCTTTTTCCATGTTCTGGGGATTAATCACAAACAAAATCTGTTCTTCTTGGCCAATCTTTAACTTTATAATGGTTTGTAGTGTATCAACTGTACTACAAACAAAATTTCGGATGAGTTCAATAACAGAGACTGTGATACGGTGATGATACGAACTTGTTATATACTAGTGGCCCGCTTCGCTTCGGTGTAGACTATAGTTTTTGTTCCGATGCGTATTATGGTCTATGACATCCACAAATAAAGGGGTTTTCTATAGGTAAAAGAATTTTCGAAATCTGTTCAATATATTCAGAGATTACCTAATACAACCTCACAAACTTTACCTCTTTATATTATTATATAGGTAGAATAGACTTGTTCGTAGCTATAATTTTTACTATTGTTATAAGCCTAAAAACTAATGGAAAGAAGAGGATAATCCAGTTTTTAGATAAAAACATTTCCCATACAGGTAAATACACACATCAAAAGTGTCTAGGGATCAACATATATTTTTGCAATAACTTTTCTCCTGATTGATATTAATTAAAATTTTCTTTAAGGATTCATCAAATAAAGTGTTTTCGTTTGTCACAGTAACGATAAATCAAGTCACCTTTGCATTAATAAAGAAATTTGCCATTTTCCTAATAAAGGGATTTTTGACATTTGAACCACTAACACAAAAGTTCGAAAAAAAGACTGAAATAACAGTTTTCTCTAAAATTTTATTGGGTAACTTAAACAATTAATAATCCGTATTTCTACCGCGAACACTAACAACACAAGAACATCGGTTTGGCATACTCAAAATGAGTTCATCCAAATCACGCTGTGGAATGGCCGCCCATGTTCGTTGCAACAACAAAAAAAGGTCTTCTTGCGACTGGATACCCTCCATATTCGGCAGAGCTCTTCTCTGTAGCATATCCCATGCATGCTCAATCGGGTTCAAGTCTGGCGACTGAGCAGGCCAGGGCAGGACATTGATGTTAGCTGCGGCGAGAGTCTGTCTTACAACTCTTGCGGTGTGCGGTCGTGCATTATCATGCATTAACTGAAATAAGGGACCGATTTGCACTTGTAGAGGAACGATGACGTCTGATACAATCGTCTCAGCATAAATTTGAGCGTTGAGGTTGCCTCTGATCCAAATCAACTCAGTTCTTCCGCCGATCCAAATACCCGCCCATACCATGATGGTTCCCCCACTATAAGGATGGACTTCCTGGCAGGATTTTAATCGCTGTTGGCGTCCAGGGGTTCTCCAGTGTCGTATACGTCTTGTATCCGGTCTCATACCAAAACGAGACTCATCAGAAAAGCACACGAAACGCCATTGTTCTTCTGCCCAATTTCTGTGTTCAAGAGCCCATTGATATCGAATCCTACGATTGTGCATTGCTATAGGTGGTACCCGTAGCGGTCTTCGGGAATGAAGGTTCACTTCATGCAAGCGGTTTCTGACTGTTTGGTCGCTAATTAAGTTCCCTGAAGAGTGATGAAGCCTCACGGCTAACATCATGGCGGTTATTGTTGGAGCTCTTCGAGTTAAGATTTGAATGTATCGGTCTTGTCTCCGTGTGGTGCAGCGATACCGTCCTCCATGGCGCTCAGCCACGGTACCAGTGCTTCGGTATCGTGTCCAAAGTCGACTGATAACACTCTGACTTGTATTCAGAGCTAAAGCCACAGTACGTTGCCGGGAACCAGCTTCTATCATTCCCACGGCTCTGAGCATTTCTTCCCTGCTTAAATGACGTCGCCGCTCCATAATAACGTTGGTTTTAATCAGTAGTAGGGAAACAGTAGCACTAATAATGTCTTCAATGCGTTGTATGTTTTTATAGGGAAAATATTGACAGCTGATTTTCATCTTTTACTCGAATTTGATTCACAGTTCCTGATTCAAATTATGAAATGCACCAAAAAGGATCCATATAAATTTATAAAATCATAAATTTATTACAAAGCCACATCTCAATCTCAAGAAATCCGCATAAAAATGCTTGATCCCTAGACACTTTTGATGTGTGTATTATCAAAACCATAAACCGTACACGCGACTTATTTCATGGTGAACTCCAATGGATATAACCCCATTATTCATTCATTGTTTATTATGTTTAATGGCTTCTCTTCTGGTATATGACATGGCATAATATGTTACAGTCATAACATATCCCCCATGGACCATATTTCAAGACAGATTTTACTTTTATATTTGTACTGGTCTTTTTAAACGATTTTCATGCCTGAAATAATGTTTTTGAACTTGGAGTTTGGCTAATTCTAAATAGGAAAAAAGTTCCCAAATATTATATTAGTTTTGATAACAAACTAGTATTTTCTTGAAAATATTGCCTACTCATTTATATACACATGTATATTGTTTGTTGATTGAATGTCTATACCTCCCTGCAGCTTCAAGCCATGTGTTACCTACAGCCAGTTACACATCGCCACAGTGCCAAATCAAATCGATTGTAAACCTTATGTACAGCAAGATATACAGGAAAAATGTATTTGAAGAAATTCTACAGTCTTCATTTAAAACTATTTTAGTTTGCTGCAGCCTATTAATACCATTGATGATGCAACAGGTCATTAACTAAAACTCTAGCGTGAAAACGCCACATAGAACACAAAGTAGCTAATGCCTTTCCATTAGGGCCAATGCCTGTTATTCGAAAGGATAATGTTTGACAAAAAATACTTTTACTAAAAGCCAGCAGCGACAGTAACGGCCCTATCGCGTCGTGATCACTAACACAAACTACCATTCAATGCCGTGTAATTTTAGATTGGTTGAATAAACACAGTAAAACGTTATTTTTTATGAAAGTAAACAGAAATATAACCTATTTTTGTAAGCCTTTTTGCACAAAATGGTCAGTAGTCATTCAGCCCCTGTGTAATGAAGCGTTACCTTAATTTGATAACATATTTATGGCTTACGTAAATACGACCATATTTCACATTTTCGTCTTCAGCTCAAGTGGCTTCCTATTCGCGAGCGTAGGAACCTCAGAGTTGTTTGTGCCCTTTTCAATCTTCTCTTCGATCCACATACACCGGTTTACCTAAAAAGCAGATTTAGGTTTCTGAGTGATTCTCATGACCGTGTCCTCCGTTCAACGGACAATCTCCTTCTGCATACTCCCGTCCATTCTTCTGGCTTCGTCTCCTACTCTTTCACTGTCACGGCGGTACGTCTCTGGAATGACTTGCCCCCCAATATACGTAAAGCTCCTAACAAACTTGCATTTAGGGCATTGGTTCGTGAGCACTATCTCAATAGCATTAAACAGCGTTCTCATATATGACTGACATAATCGTATACATGTGTATGTATTGTATGTATGTATATGTGTGTATCTATGTATATATATATATATGTATATGTATGTATATGTATGTGTATGTATGTGTGTATTATGTGTGTGTATTCTGTTAAGAGTATTTGTATCCTTAGTTTATCTTACATTTGTCTTTATTGCGCCCCCGTCATATCAGTTTTTTCTCACGCTCTTACTGGTCGACTGGTAGAGAATGCCTTATGGCATTATGTCCGCCATTTGCTGTGTTATGTTGCAATAAAGTTTAAATAAATAAATAAATATTTAAAGTTTTTTTTTTTCTATTGATGTTAAGTGTACCTCCCCTACGCCGCGGATCCCTGGAACCATACTGTACTTCTGTTGGTGAACAGAAACACAACAACTTAAAATCTAATATTTTTTTTTACAGTTCTCTTCTGTAAGGTTAAGATTACTATCTAATTCTAGCAGAAGTTCAAATGTGGTTACAAAACACAAAAAAAAAATGTGGTCACAAGTCATAAAATAAATTAAAAAATAAAAGTGTTTAATTCAATATTATTGTAACTAGCTGACCCGGCCAAATTCGTTGTGGCAATCTTAAATTTTTTATTTTATTAAATTAACGCTTTACAACCGAAATAAAAAAATACATAAAAGTTAAATAGTTTATTGCGATGTAACTAACACGACTTTGTTTTATATAGGTATCTATATAAAACAAAGTCGTGTAAGATGGTTTATTGATACCTACTAAATAAATTTTAAAATCAGTGCAATAACTCCTGGAAAAAAATATCTATTTTATATCAATCCGTTATTTTATCGGACAGAAAACTTACCTCTTGATCTATAACAACTTTTTCAGAAATTCTACACCATTTACAAAGAGTGTCTTACTTTCATTAAAGTTAGGTTCATGTAGTGAACATAGGTTACCAAATTGTCTAAGGTAGATGATTCTGTTATTTACATACTTTGTTGACAGATTATAACTTATTAAATAGGCCAATAACATTGTTTTTTTCTTTACTCGTTAAAAATAATAAAAACCAGCCAAATGCGAGGAGGACTTACACACGAAGGGTTATTTACCTTTATTTATATAACATTAAACACCATTTCAATAAAGCCTGAAATACGGCAAGACAAAATTCCGTCTGCTTCATTTTTATAAATATTTATTATATTTTAAGTATTTATTTTTCAGGTGAATATACAAGTAAATATTATGTGAATATTTTAAGTTGTTGCCGTTACTAATATTAAGAACAAAACACAAAAAAATATCACGTTTATTGTACGGGAGGAGGTTAAATATTTATTCTATTTTGTTTTTGAGTTTTGCTTTGTTGTTATCACAGTTCCTTAGATACAGCCTGGTGAAAGACAGACAGACAGTGGAGTCTTAGTGATAGGGTCCCGTTTTTATTACCCTTTGGGTACGGAATCCTAAGAAGAAGACCAACTCACATTGGTACCGCTATTACAGACTAAACGACACTAACGGATTTCTAAAAGCGCGAGCTTAGCGTACATTACCGTCGAATGACATCACAAGTTATGTTATAATGGAGAATAATTTCCTGCCCGCGTAGCTGTGTCCCTCGAACAATGAAGCGCAAATAAAAACTAATGGTTGCTGAGGCGTAAGGTGTATATAAAAGAATACCACACCGCAGCTCGTCATATTTGAGATAATCCGCGAGCCAGACGCTGCTTGATCTAGGTTAATCTACGGGACTTACGTGACTTTCGCTTTGCAATAACGTTAAAGTGAGATTATCCTGAACTATGCTTAAGTCTAACTTTTCCAGCGCAACGTCTTAACTTTATAAGTTTATGCCATTGCGAAGAGAGAATAATATTTTGTTTATTCCATTTGATAATTGTGCTACCTGTTATCCTCACATTTTTTTTATTTTTTATTTAAAAAACCAACAGCGTTACAATGAATACTTACTAATACTTAGAACTATAGGTAAGGCCAATAACAGGTATTTTGGTATTTCAAAAAATAAAATTTAAACATGGACGTGCTAGATGAACAATAATTACTAATAAGAACTTATTAAAGAAATATGATTAAGGTGATGTATTTCACCTGTAGATTTACATTAATATTGGCAAAAATTCGTGTAATCACATTAATAGGATTTCGAAAAACACGTTCAACAGGAAGGAAATAGCATTTTGTTTATTCCATTTGATTATTGTGTTACCTAGTATTCACACACGTTTCACCTATAGATTTACATTGATATTGGCAAAAAATCTTGTAACCACATTGATAGGATTTCAAAAACCACATTCAACAGGAAGGAAATAATATTTTGTTTATTCCATTTGATTATTGTGCTACCTGGTATTCACACACTTTTCATCTGTAAGTGAAAGTCGAGTGTAAAAACACGTGGGTTTTTGCCAATAATTATCTAAATCTTCTATCAATGTGGTAACACGACCACATTGATAGGATTCAACAGGACGGAAAATTACAAAATATGTTTCTAAAATTGACTTTAACAGACTTTGGGGCTAAGTTAAATCGCAAGTTATAGAAATAATAACAAAAAAAGATTTTAATATCAGAATGTTTTCAATCATTATTAAATTCATTTGAAATTTCAAAAAGAAAGTAAAACGTTGCCGTGCCATCACAAACGCTCTCGAAACGTAACCGCGAAAGTGCTAGAGATCGAATGTGCCAGAGCACCGCGGGTCGCGATAGAGGTCGAGTAATGCGGCTCATTTTAGAATGAGCCGCTTATGCAGTGCGGCGTAAGGGAGAAAGTGCAACGACATCTGCACTTGTTAACGAGTTATGCGCGTTACCTGCGTAGGTATAAGTAGATACTTCGAACTCGCAGGTGCTAGCTAATTCTCAATTTAACAGGTACTTTCTAGAATGCGTCGTTCTGCGTATATAAGCGCGATTGGCGCCGCACAGAAACAGTTGTGTTTCAATATAGCGATTTCGGAACGAATCCAAAGGCGTTCAAAGTGCAACAAAAGTGTTCAAGTGCGATTGTTTAGAGACTTGTATAGTGAAATACAGTGTTTAGTGAGTGTTTTGTAATTAACGTTGTGTGTTAATTGTGTGAACTGTGTGGTGAATAAAGAACTGTCAAGCGTGAACTGGCATATAATTTCGAACCCCATCCCGACACGTAACAATATCAACCACTATAGCATACAATTATCTTTAAAGTTTAATATTGCCGGTCAGAGCTAATTAGTTATAATGATAAACCACCTGACTAGTAACTGCTATATGACTTTATACCCTACCATTTCGCAAATGACGTAGTGTCTGTCACTGTTCATAATATAACGCCAAGGTTGGTGAGACTAATGTACAAGTTAACTGTCACGTGAAATTACAATTAGTGAACATAATGCCGGGTCTGCGGATCTAACATTATTACGGTAAAGCCGAAATTTTATTGAAACTACCTAGGTACTTTGTGATATTATGAAAGGTTTGGTTTATGGAAGATATTTGAACGAACGACACCGCTATTAAAGGAAACGCAAACGCTAATGATTGATGTATCCACCTCTTTTAATTGTTACGTTTATATAATGAACGCTTTTAAATAAATCTTCTTTCATATTCTTTTGAATAACAGTTAGCTTAAAAAGAGATTTTTGTAAAAACGATTTCTTTTGTAACGTTTGAGATATTTCACTTTCATTTTTTTTTTATTTATTTATTAGCTCACAAAACACTTGTTTTTGTAACTTTACAACAATTGTAACTTTACAATTATAAAAAAAAAACCAAAGCAATTACAATAATACAAAACCAAACTGTAACTCTAAATATGTGGGCATATCATGATTAAATTTTTATGGGTTGAAGTTTACACTAAAGAAAGAAAAATATATAAATTGAATTTCAACAATTATCAAACAAAAAAAAAGTCACTTAAATAAGATAAAAATTAACCGATTTTTCTCTTGGCATTTCTTGGGATTCCGATAAACGCAATCACTGATACAATGTTACTGATGTTTAATAATAATGTTACTGTTTCTAATAAAGAAAGAAATTTCCTTATTAGAATGATTTGCTAGATTGTGAGTTCTCTGAAGATATTTCCCTTTTTATTTATATTTCCTCCTATTGATTTGGTTTTACTCGGTTATACATATATCGACCGAAGTAATTGAATATAACATTCAACCCGAGAAAGCGCTTGTATCATTGAGGAATGTGCTATAACACAATACATTCTCGTGAATGAGGTTAAGGATCATGTAGGTTTGTTATGACACGAACTTTCACCTACGTGGCACACTGTGAGATATTATTCAATTAGTCAGGGAAGTTTGTATCGTTAATTACAGTGGTAATGTTGGTGCTAGTTCGAGTTAGGTATACTCAAATCTAAGGAAGTAGTGTCGAGTGAATGTTTGCTTACAGATATGGGGTTATATCTTAAGAAAAATATCGTACCCTTTATAGGATAACTAAAGTAGTGTGTACCAGGGATATAACAGAAACATTATCAGCAATGTCCCGTATTTCATATTTCCCTGTGTGTTTGTTTGTATGTTCACTATCACCTTTTAGTCCATGTCTTTAACAATTTTTGTTAACCATCTATGGAAGAAGATTTTTTATGCATTTTCACTTATCTGGTTATGTGTGGCAATAGGTAAATGTAATCTATATATATAAGAATGTCATGTTGCTTTGTGTACGCTTCAAAAACTCAAAAAGTTCTGCACCGATTGAGTTGAAATTTTAACATGATATAAAATCCGCATCAAGGATTGTTTTTATCAATTTTTTGCATCAGTCACATATCTGCGACCGCGAGAAAACAGTTTTTTTAACGATCAGCTGTGTACCAGTGACCGCTCCATCTGCCAGAAGCGAGGAAAACACTCGCTGACAACCGCAATAGTAATGACGCAGTTACATGAGAAACAATTTCGTTCCCAATGACATGGTTTATTTACAAAAAAAAATGCATCTGATTCTGATTATTATACAATCTGAATTAAATATTCACTTAAATCAAGAATTTTTGGTGTGATAGTGTTGTGATCGTACTGCGCCTTTCACCAAATCATTAGTAGAGGGAATATTTTATATCAAAGATGGACAGTAAAAATATTATTTTTTTGCAATTATTATTTATTTAATATTAATTAATTAAATAAATAAGTAAAATATTAGTTAAATAATTAATCAATAACAAAACATATTTATTATTGAATAGAATCTTTTTTAATAATCGTGTTCCCGAGTCGGCAAACCAGAGAGTCTTTATATCTACGCAGACAGTGGAAAAACAAAAAATATTGTATAACCACAAGTATTGCAAAATTAAACTTATATGAAATGTATTCTTTGTTTTGTTTCTCATTTCTCAACCATTCAATCACAATGGGCCACTGCGAAGCGTGGCAGGGGACAGCTAGTAAAATATAAAGCTTTATACTCACGATATAGTTGAATCTGCACGTTGACTCTCAACGGCGGTATAAGAAGGGTATTATCGGCTGTGCAAGTGTACACAGCCTCGAAGTAATCTCTCGAGAGCTTCGGTATCCGCAGCTCCAACGAGCTGAGCCCCGATCCGTCGTCTACGGGCATCAGAGTGGCGATCACTTTGTCGTCGCGCCACCATCGCAACCTTGGCAGCGGGTTACCTGAGGACCGTGAGAGAATTAGCACTAATATTCTCTTGCACAAAGTACATTCATAAAATCTGAATATATATCGTTACCGCCATCTCGTTACCAGGCATAGCATTGCAGCTGCATGGACACACACATACATACGCGCACACACACCCACTCACACTTCATAAAGTTATCATGTGACAAACTCGTGAAAACCCTTTTATATGGATATTCAGCGTTTGTTTTTCTTCTTTTTTGTCTTTTTGTTATGTTTTTGTCCAATTTTAATTTTATTTTATTTTTTTTATGTTAATGAATAATATATAATATATAAACAATTTTTTAAATTAAATTAAATGTAATAATTACTGACATATAATAACGCCGTTAATATCTAATGTGTACGTAATGAGTTTCTGTAGTTGGCCTTAAATTGTATCTATATTTTATTGTATTAATATTTTTCACAAAAACCGCTGCAGAAACTTTGTTAAAGATAAATAAATAAATAAAATAAATATACTTCCGGGCACAACTATCGGCCCACTTTGTGTTAGTTATAAGTCTAAAAAATCCGTAGCAAAAATACATGTTTGTGGTTGAGCAATAATTTTGAAAACACACGAAACGATGGTTTATAAAGCAGCTTCAAAACTGAGCAGGTAAAACTTTTTGCTCAATGTAACATTGATTTTTAGCTAGGGGCTGTCAAAACTTAGAATGCTAGATAGGCCGATAGATGTGTCCGGAAGTGTATAGAAGGCATTTTTTTTTATCGCAGATGACCTTTACAGCGTCACTGGGTTTGGGGACGGCAAGATCCTAAGGGGACCACAAGCAGAGAATTGGTGATTGCCTCTAGAGGTATTTCAGACGGATGGCATCTCCCCACGTGGGAGTCTCCTTTCCGTCTGGAGCCTCTAGACCACTCGAATCTGCGGAGTCGGCTCAACTAGAGGGCGTCTCTAAGACTCGAACCATGGCTCTAGTCTGCCGTTGTCGTGGGTGGCGGGGAAAAACGCACAGGTACGTACCTGTACCTGGTATAGCGTGTCGTGTGTAGACCGGGTCTTCGCACTCTTATCCTATAGGTGCGGTGTCTGCTTAATGCTAAGCTAGTGTGTAAGTTTGCTAGCTGTGTAGTGTTGGTATTTGAGGCCTGTCTGGGAGGAGTAGGAAGCGCGTTGGCGCGAGTAATTTCGTCGTCGGGGTACTCTAAGACGTGCCTTGGCCGACGGAATCGGAGGATAGAATGCAACCATTACTGACATATCTATCAATGAACAGCTCAAACCACTTAACGAAATAAATATTTGGCACACATATAGCTATTATGATGCTGAAGGCGGGCATTAAGAAAGGATTTTCCAAAACTAACCCCTAAAAGGGGTAAAAAAGGGGTTCAGATTTTAAATGGTAATGGACTCCGTGTCATTCTTCTGTCATTTAAAATACTATGTTATTTAGGAAAAAATAGTCATCATGGTTTACCCTTTCGACGGTTATCGTAAAATACATGATTGTGTTTTTTTCACATTTCACGAGTTAGATACCGGATTTAGCCAGGCGATTGTTTAAATAACTGTGAATGCAGTTCTTCTTATTATTAAAAATAAAATGATGTCTTCAGTAAACTATCCTATCTTCAATAATTAATATTCTTTCCCTCCGTGTGACAAACCCGTGGGACGCCCTGTATAGTATAAATTCAAGTTGTGACGATTTTTAATTTACCTTAAAATTTATTCAATTTAGATTCGTTTCGATATTTAAATAAAAAAAAATTGTTAGTTTCGAAATAAATAAATATGATTTGGTTTTACAAAACCATGGAGTAAGTGAGTTTTATAAAAATCATTATAAAAAACGTTTTTCGTTGACTGGGATTCGAATCCGAACCGTCCATGTGGTATGTGAGCTTCCTACCACTGAACCAGCAATGCTTTTTAAAAAGGTTAGAAATGTAAAGTGACAGCTAAATACGACCGAAAACATTGTGGTTATGTAAGAAAATTTTCACTTAAATATTAAAAAGAATCAAACCAATGGAGTGGGTACCGATGAGTTCGAACATGAACGTATTCATAAACTTTACGATCAAAAATTTCATAACTAGTCTGGCCATAAATACTGTTACATAAAAATCTTTTTTTTTTAACTTTTTAATTATTTTGAATTACACGTATGTTATTGTAAAATCTTCTTTCGATTTTGCGCCATTTCACACATTTTTTCGTGTTTTTATGCACGGCCCGTTCCATTATAATTATCAAATTACAATGACACGGGCCGTTAAAATAATTTGATTTTTGTAGTGATCGTAATTATATATCTGATACTTGGAAAAAAACGATAAAGGTGAAAAAAGGAAAATATGAAATCAACCTTCATCATCATCATCATCATCAGCCCTATAATGTATGGAGTTTGGCTATGACCTTATGACCAACTCAACCTTAAACTTAAAACAAACAACCTTAAAATATTTTATTTTGTGGGCCAAATAAAATATTTTTACCAATCATTGGCCAGCGAGTAACTTCGTATTGTATTAACCGAACTAATTTAAAATAAGATCTCACGCCTCAAGTGAGGCTATATTTACCGAGACAGATTTCACGCGCTGAGCCGTTAACTATAGAATTGTTGATCGAAGCATAATCTATATGAGCTCTATGCTTACAAAAAGGGGTTGGCACAGTTATTTGTCGCACGATTAGTATTCGCCTGAAATGTGAACTAATCAACGTAATTATATTAAACTGGATTAATGAGTGTGTGGTATCGATTGTCCACTCTAAATGAAGATTGGTGGCTGCAGTTAAATATTACCGTACAATATTTCAGATCATGCAATGTGACATTAGGAGGAGCTCGATTGCGCAAGTGGATAGCGCGTTCGGCTGCGATCGTTGAAGTTAAGCAACTGTCGCAGTGGTCGGTCATTGGATGGGTGACCAAATATTTACCATCTCGAGCTCCTTCGTGCTTCAGATGGCACGTTAAGCCGTTGGTCCTGGCTGCATCTGCAGTCGTTAGCATCTACCAACCCGCACTGGGCCCGTGTGGTAGGTCATGGCCCAATCTCCCTATTTCATTAATAGGGAAGGCCTGTATGTATGTACCCCAGCAGTGGGGACGTTAATAGGCTGATGATGATGACGATGATGATTGCGACAGTATAGTTAGAATAAGGTCTAGGTTTTTTTAGTAAAAAGGGTGACAACCATAGGGCCCGCCCACAGAACACAGAAACAGATTATAAAGACATTGTAGGCGGGGTAGGCGCGCCACAGTTATGTGTGAGCAAATGCTTATAACTTGACCAAAATTTGATTCAGATTGCGCCGTTGCTCTCGGTTATGAGCGCTGATCGGTTCGATAGTTTGATGGATAGTAGCCAATCAAACGTGATTGGCTACTATCCATTAGGTGGAAGTGTAGTGGGGGCGAGCTGGCGACATCGGTTCCCGTACAAACGGCATATGATCACCCTTCTAACCTCTTTCTGTATTCTGTGGGCCCGCCTTAAGGTATACGAAGCCACATTAGTCTATAATAGACGCATTACCATAACATAAATAAAAATACTAAACCTTCTTAGGATATGTTTATACTGGTCTTTCCGTTGTGTCCATACAACGGTCTTAGCCACTATTAAGTACTAAATTGATTTCTGAATGGTAATTCACGGATAACTGTAGCTCATTTCAAAACGTCCCATTCATTTAAAGGTAACCACAGGAACAATTTAACCAATAAAGTTATCTGGCGACCGCAGAATATTAGGGTTTGAAATAAAGTCAACAGCGCAGAAAATGAAGACGAGTATATTTCGTTCGCCCAAAAGTAATTTCTTAAATAAAACACATACAATAATTAACATGGAAGACGTATAAATAAGAAATATTCATTTCCATATTAATATTATTAATGAAAATAATGTGTCTGTCTGTCTGTTACCTTTTTACGCTAAACCACTAAGCCGATTTAGCTGAAATTTGGTATAGAGATCGGAAATTACGAAAAAGGTTAGGTTCTCGTGGATTGTTATTTAAAATACTAACTATAATGCAATCCCTGTTTGGCTGTAAATTTGAAATCGTTTCAAACCAAAACAGCTCAATCAAATGCAATGAACTGAAAAATTCCAACTTTATACCGTTTAAGTTGTTTTTATAGTAATAGTAATGATTAAATTATAATATAATAAAAGTTAAATAAAACTAGTTTTAACGGGTTAATGCACGAAACTTAATTTATTTAGTGACGTTTCGTAGCCTTTTCAGGTCCGCATTGTCAAAACAATGAATTAAAAAAAAACATTATTCTGACGATGCAGACCAGAAAAGGCTGCGAAAAGTCAATAAATAAATAAAGTTCGTGCATTAATCCATTAAAACTAGTTTTATTTAATGCGTGATGTGCTTGAAATCCTAAGAAATAAATATAATAAAAGTTTACAAGTTGTAAGCAAGGAACTTTAATTGTCAAGATATAAACAGATGATTCAGCGGGAATTTCAATGTGTTTGGTACGTTGAGATTACAACAATTCACACGAATAGGTTAGGTCGTACCTCTTCAACAATTTAGCAATGATTACCTTAATGACAGCTTATTTTCGCCCTCACTATGAACTCTACTCACTCACAAATTAAGGCTTAACAGGCGATACTTATCGTTTAGATTTAGATTCAAAAACATTGCATTAACCGATGGTTTTGATCTAAAACTTTAGTACAAAAAAACAATAATAAAAAAAAATGTGTGTGTCAGCTCCGACGCACGACTGGAGTTTACTCCTTAAGTTCGATAATCTAACCAGACGCAAAAAGAGTTTATTTAACTTAAAAAAGATTGATACTGTATGAAAGGGTAAATTAACAAATTAATGAAAATAAAAACAGCAATATAAGTATGTCGACACTGATAGAAATAAACAAACCCAATAACATATAGGTATAGTCGCTTTGCAGTATACCCTATGCACGTGTCCCTATACCCTACACTCACAACCAAATTAGAAAGTTGCGCGACATAGGATGCGCACCGAAAACGTAACGAGGTCATTCATGGATAGATTTTACTCCTCACATTTTTCTCATACCGGGCCCCTTATATATGCAAATCGATTCTTAAGGAGTAAACTCCAAAATATCATGCTATAAAATTTTAATTAACGGATACTGTAGCTCAAACGAGATGACCCGGCGTCCCACCTAACAATCGATGAATGTCATTAATTTGAAGACAATGGTAATGATAATAGTGAGTCAAACTTAAAAGATGGACATATGCTGTCGTGGAATATTATATAAAACTTTTAAAGGGGAACAATTTCGTTATACATGATTTTTGTGTATATTTTACCGTTTACGTAGTGCACGCAACAGAATCTCACAAATGGATTTTTCCCCGTTTCCACAATATTTTTATCGATGCACCGCTCCTATTCGTTGTAGCGCAAAGTTATATAGCTTTTGGCCTTCCTCAATAAATACACTATCCAACACATTTTTTTTAAATCAGACCTTTAGTTCCTGAGATTAGCTCGTTCAACCAAACAAACAAACTTCAGCTTTATAATATTAAGCATAGATATAAAATTAACTGAAATATATTACAAGTTTTACCTCCACTTACAACACAGGTGAGTTTCAAACTGGTGTCTTCTACATATGGTCCAGCAACGCCAATCACTTCTTTATCCAACTCGTCAAATATTTTTGGTTTTTCTGGTAATTCTGTAACAATGACACAGTTATTTTTATGTGTTAATAGCCAAATAACAAGCAAGCCATGAGAGAACCTCAATGGCACAGTGGGGAACACGTTTATTTAAAGTTTTCTAGTTTAGAAATCTGATGTTAAGTGGTGATAAAGTCCAAACGCGAAGATAGCTGGTAAATTGCTACACCAACCATTCTCACCTTGCCGGCCTGCAAAAATGCTTCATCGCGCCTCTCTTAAAAGACCCCAGATTGTAGGAAGAAGGGAACACGTGAACAAGTAAAGCAACTTTGGCAATGTTGGGTCATAGGTTGGCTGGCCAAAAATGTATCATCGAAAACTCCTTGGTGGCTAGTAGGTACGTTGAACTGTTAGTCCCGACTACATCTGCAGTCTTTAGCAATCACTAATGCTGGACCCGCGTGGTTAGCCGTGACTCATTCTTCCTACTTCATTCATATTAAAATATTTGTGTTTTATGCTACGTTTCCATTTAAGCTCTGAACAGTTCTGAATGAGGATACAGCAGAGCAAACGAGTCGGTACAACGATGTTTGACTGGACAGATAACGAATGCTCTTCTGCTCAGTCATCAATAGAAAAAGAGCAACATTGTTTTGAGCATTTTATTTACAGAGGGAACAAATATTTGCTTGCTTGCTTCTGAGCACTAGGTGGAAACGCAGCAACAGCAGTGGTGTCATTAGAACTCTGAATGATGAAATATTATGCATTAATACCAGCAACAAAATTTTACCAAATTTAGATACCTACCAGACTGAAACTATGTAATTAATTGTAATATTTAGTTACGATAACGTGTGTGTTTTAGGGTTCCGTAGTCCTGACCAGAAACCCTTTTAATTTCGTCATATCCGTCTGTCTCTCCGTCCCCGGTTTTGCTTGGAGAAGCTAGCCACTAGAGAGCTGTAATTTTGTGTAAATATGTATATCGGTCACACCGAAAAATATTTTTTTAGGGTAGCTTACATGTAACCTCGGGATGTTTTTTTTTAATCCTCTATCCCATCGTGTGGGGTATCGTTGAATAGATGCTTTAAAATTAATTAGGGGTTCCTAAGACGATTTGTTCGATTTAAGGATCCGTTTGAGAAATATTTAACTTGAAAGTACTAGTTTTTATTATTTTTTCCCCCTTTCCCTCTAAAAGCAAAACTATTGATTTTAAAACCTGACAAAATTTATGATAGTAGAGCTTATCATGAACTTTTAAGGAAATATAGATTTGTTGAGAGTAATAGTCGTTCAAATTTAGTTAAAGAAAATTTCTTACCTTACATTAATAGTGACATAGATGAAGTGATTGTAGCGTAAAACTTTGTATTGAAAAACAAATAAAATAAAAACTATTTAGAAGTTGTTTTTTTTATTACCGATAGAGAAAATAAAGAGTCCTGCTCAAATAAATTATGGTAACGACAGGCAACTACGGAACCCTACACTGCGCGTGGCAGGACACGCTTTCAGTCTGTTTTTTCCAAGAAATATAATATTAGCTTCTTTTAATTTGTTTTAACTTAAGTATGGAATAATATTTCTGCAAGAGATTTTAAATGAAGGAAAAAATTCAACAAAATAATTTCTTCTAAACATATTTCGTTAGAATTCTTTCGAAACAAATGCCAATGGCAAAAATAAGTTCGGTGCGCGCTATAGAATTGTTTTCTATAGGCTAAAAAAGTTACCAACCAAAGTTACTCCAGTAAAACAGGCAGGCTTTTGTTAGTTACATTAAATTAATGAAATTTCGAAAGCCATTACCTACAGCCCCCAATTGGCAACCGCATAGTGGTTTTTGAATCAAATCTCTTCGCTTTCTGGCTGGCCAATTTGCTATTTGGTTGATAATTTACTGCTTATGAAGCTTACGTTATTGGATTTTAAATTAATAGCGTTGATTCACATATGTTTATAAAATCAGTCATTACTTTATCTTTTCGGTTAACGTGTATATTATTTAATTTAACTCAAATAGCTTCGTCACTATTTGCAATATAATTAACGATATTTTTTCTAAACCCTACCCAAATAGAGGCTACAAAAGACAGTTAACAATTAGCGCAAATCACAGAACTGGGAACATAGGTCCGTGGGACCAATCTTATAATATTCTAGACAAGCGGATTGTTAAATTAAATTATTGGTAACAATCCCGTTAATAGCTATAATGTTAGTGACCATGGAAGTTTAAAACAATATACCTACATTTCTACTATCATATAAAACATTTCAACTTCGCTAAAGGCTAAAATTGTTTGTACAAAAAACTTTCATTCATTAACACCTCCTTAAACACTGAACTTAACATTTCGCTGGCTCAATGTGCTACCGCCAAGTGCTTTGTAGGTACGTACTATAGCATAATATGGTACTCTTAGTTTATCAAAGTTTTACCTCAGTCTAGTAAAGCTAAATGTGAATCGGCAGTTTGGCACAATGGTTTAACTTTATGATTAGGGCACCACATGCGCTACTTTGATAGTTTGCTGTAATTACTCATGATGTATTATTATATAACAGGCAAATTGTAGATTTCGCTTTATACCGTCTCGAGTAGCTGTATTAAAACGGAGCCAATTCGTTAATGGCGAATCGAAGATTGGCAGAATTGCATTACGGCTAAAGGTTTGTGGGTATGTGACTTTTATGATTCTATAAAGGGCTAGCCGTAATGGCTGAGTGACAGGGTAATTTGCGGCCATTTAGTGCCAACTTTCAACACTCACGGCGCCACTATTAAGAACAACAATAGCATCGAATAGGTAATTTCGGGAAAAATGTAATTTTTCAAATTACAAAAACAATAAATTATCAATATGAAGATATTTCACTTCGTTAGTTTCGTCAATCATTTGACAGTCGCATGTAAAGCGCTATGATGATTAGCGTGGCGGCAGTGGGAGCTATTTTTTTTTTTCATTTTACTTCGTATTTTGGTGTTCAACAAATACAAACAGTGTCAAGTTTGCCTCCCAAAACCTGGCTTGGCAGTCGCATAGTTAAATTTTCTGTCAGGTTACTTGACAATGTTGAATTCGCTAATCATCGGAATAGGGGCGATGACGGAGTACAGTAAACGAAATTCTATTTAGTCCGTCAGTTAGATAATCGAAAAATAATGGACACGTATTTTTCTTTGGGAAATCAACCAAAAAATGACAAAGTTATAGCGCGTCAAAGTTTGGGAGTAGGGGCTCGTGACGTCACTTTTTAGTGAATTTTCACTTAAAAGTGTATCAAAACGTGACGTCATGAGACTTTTTAAATCCATATATCTCTGCAATGTTTATATTATGGGAAAAAAGAAAAAATACGTGTCCAATACTTTTTGATAATCTACCTGATAAACGAAGAAAATAAAATAGATATCATCCCTGAATGGCTTCGTGGACTACTTCGGGTGCTTCCAGGGACCACTGGTTAAGAACCGCCGATCTAGAGATATTTAAGACAAAAATTTGATGAAAATCACCACACTTTAAGAGAGGTTGTGTCCATAAAGAGAGGGAAAACCTTAAGTGGTAGGTTAGTTAAAGCTGGGTTGTTTATTAATCGAGTATTTATAATGTTAAATTACAAAAATCAAAAACGGTATACATAACTAGATATTTGTGTGTTAATAGATTACTGATAAAATCTGCAAGTTTTGGTGTAAGTCATCATTCATATCATAGTATGCCTGTACTAGTTATGTACCTAACATATGTATAATTATGTGTGCGCGTGGGTGTGTAAATGTTTTTAAGAGGTAAACTATTTAAAAAATTTAATAGAATATTTTGGATTGTTATTGTTTTAAAAAAAAGGGAAAGTATCTTACTGTGTGTGCGCGCGTGTGTATGTAAGTTATGTGTGCCTGTGTGTGTGTGCATGTGTTTTTGTTTTTTTATTTTTTATTTGTTGAACTAGATAGGTTTTTATACATATATTATAACGAGAGCTGCTGCCGACAAACTGTTACACAGTTTGGCAGATGTATACATAGTGTTTACATGTGTAATAATGTGGAAATAAATAAAAAAATAAAAAAATAAAAAGGTAGGGCAAAGCGGATTCTCCGCTTGAATTGGAGCGCCCCCGTCTGGGTAAGTAACCTCCACTTTTCAGAAGACAGTAAAATGCCACTAACTCTTGGTGGAGCTGTGCTTTTGTCGGTGAGTAAAGTTCTAGGCTCAACGGGGTAGGGCATTAGGTCAGGAGGCCTACTCTAATTCAACGAAATTTCGATCGAAACTTCGCACTTTTCTTACTATGTTTCTGGTTCGTTTTTAATTATAATAATATTCATCGTCGAAATATAGATTAAGATGTAGATTTTCTAAGCCTACTCAAAGAAAGCTTCAGTATAATTTATAACCTTAAATTGCATTAAGTATCTCTTATCTATTAGACAAGTCCGTCCGTCCGTCTGTGGTGCTGTTTCAGCGGCCAAACCGTAAGAGATAGATAAAGAGAATATTTAAGTTATAAGTTAAGAATAGTCTGATAAGACTACAAACCGGATTTGAGTAACGTAGCACTTCCGGTTTTCGAGAAATCACGAATTTAAAACGAAACCACACAAAATCTCCGAAGTTCTCAATTAATTAAATACATTTTTTTTTTTAAATCAGGTTTTGGTGAACATTTGGTTCACTGGTTTGCTAGTAACCCTAAATTGACGAAATTAAATTTCGTTTTAACTTCGCTATCGAAAGTTCGTTTCGGAGAAAGAGAGGAGACCTCCTGGATAGGCAGAGTGATATTTCTTGTATCACAAGCGTCTATAGGCTATGGAGTCCGCTTACCATCAGGCAGGACATACGCTTGTTTCCAATACTTTTAACGTAAAAAAAACACCTTAATTGTCTATGGACTATTAAGGATATTGACCGTTGCGTATTAAACTTAAGATATTACGAATTTAAATAATCGATATTAAGGCACAGTTGTGTTTACAATTTTAAGTACTGTAACGCCCGTAGCGTAATGACCTCCTAGCTTGTGTAAACTC